ACCGTCAAATGGGTAGTTAAAAATGACAACTTCACCTATCCTTTTACAATCAAGTTTTCCACAATTAAAATATTGTTATTATCGTCTTTCTCAATTTCGCCTCTGAATCGATACATATTCGATTCGATGTATACATGCCGGAAGATAAACCAGACTGGCGGGCAACAATGACTTTTGCATTAGATGACATACTCGAACTAGCCGGCACGATAACATGACTGTAAGTAATTAGCATATGACAACTATTCACTTTAATTATTCTAAACCTTGTCCACTTACTTACTCCAGATTACGTGTAACCCATTCAAGTGCGTATAATTCATCCAATATACCACATGCACACACGTACGCGGATCCGCACAATCGCCACGCTGCCCAAGTACGAAATAATATCACCACGTTTACCTCTCGTACTACACAATACATAAGCGGCAGTGGATCAAACTTAAATATAGCAGAATTTGATATTACAGCATACCACGAATCCTCCAAGAAAAATCTACATTCAGAGAACAAAGAAGGGAAAATAGGATCTCGGGTATCGCTGGTAGGAGAGCTGGACATACACAATAACAAACTTTATATGCAACTCCACAATTTCGAATTCATCTCCACCCACACCTTCTCATTGATTATACCACATCATTCTCCAACAACTCGCCTCACAGAAAAGATCTTATTATACGAATTTATCGAACATTCTCCACCAACTCAATAAATCACTACGCCTTCGAAACATCCAAAAACAACTACTACAACTAAGTCTGTAGAATCCATTTCTACTCTAGATAATTCAAGCGAAGAACAAGCGAATTCAAAAAACAAATCAACACTATCAAAAAGAGCACTACGATATCTAAGGACAAGCCCAAGCTTCCCAATCTAGCGCCAGACATCCTACGTGCAATTGTACTTTCTCATCATTATAACGATAAAATCAATTTCCTTAATTAATCAATTTATTTATAGTTACGCCAACGTATTGTCATACCGGGTCACTTTTTTGTCCTAACCCAACCCAAAAAAGGGAATTTAATGATAGGTGAGAAAAATTTGCAATCAGTACCACACAAATAAACACATCCGATCCGATCGATCCTTATTATTATTATTATTTAAACATAATCTAATATTATTACTCTTCCAATACCAAATCTTCTCTGACCCTCCTCATGGAGTTCTTCTCTACAATCCACCTGGAACGGGCAAGACTATGCTTGTAAAGGACGTTGCTCATCATACAACTGCCTTGAAGAAAGCTCGAAACGTGTTACCGCTTACTTACCACCGCTCGTAAGAATAATATCAGAATCATGGTCGACGCTGAACAACTTCGCTTTCAACCTGCCATCGATAATATTGCTATGCAAGCTATCCTGCGAATATAACAAAATGCACAGAAATCCATATAATCCGATCGTATTAAATACCCATCAAATCTACCTCAAGGATGGCGCCAACAATTGGAGACAAGGTTCGCATTTGCCGGGAAACTGGTCAGTATTGCATGCCACGTCTCTGCTACAGTATAATAAATTCCATATTTATTTGTCACCTATTAATATTTCATCTTTATTAAAACGACCCCAGTTTCCTTTTCCATCATTTTACTTTACTATTTACCGTACCTACCTGATTGCGTTTTATATAAAGAACACATCTGCGATTCTATCATATTTTTCGGCATCTTTCTTCCGCATACCTCTTATAATCCGACGATGTTAATTCAACTGCCGTACACGTTCTCCAAGTCCAAGAAGAAAACAGAGCAATATACTGTTCAAAGCTAAAGGCGTCTTTCTCAATTTCGCCTCTGAATCGATACATATTCGATTCGATGTATATGTTATATATAATTATTTCTAAGTAGTGTATAGTAATAGCATAATTTATATTCTAATTTATTATATTAAATATCGTTATTTATCACCTGATTTTATGACTTGATTTTATTATTATTATGGCCTGATTTTTTATTGCGTCGTCGCCTGACCAAATGAAGTAAATGATCGATTATTCCGCACAAATATTTATATATATAGAAATGGCATGATTTTTTGTGTAATACGTAACGGGATATAAACGAGGTTAGATAACTATAAATTGAGAATTGTCAAAGTTGGGGTTAGGGTTATATCTGAGTAGGATAAAACTGAAGTATAATTGGAATAGGGGAAATTCGTTGGGGGATATAACTGAGGTATGACTTACTGCATATATAATTTCATTATATCGAGGGAAATTTTAATAATACTGTTTTTGTACCAGAGGAATTCTTTACTATAGCGCGAAATTCACTGTGTCGAGACTTGACTATTGACTGTACTAAGAATATTAGCTACACCCTCACGAAATGCGATCTTATTCAACACTATGCGTGCCTTTTCAGGAATGCATTCCCACCAACTTTATATTTATTTGTTTGTACAATATATCATTGTAACGACAATTTAATGTTGACGAATACTCTTTCAACAAACGCTCGTACTTTTATTTGTGGAATATTGGAAAACGTTCCCTTATTAGTTTGATTGATGAATATCTGTGCGTATTCATTAAGGTTTAAGTGCATTGTATATGGTCAGATGGTTATACTGCAATGCCTTTTGTTATACTAATACGGTTTCAAACAATAGAATTTATTTATAGACTGCAGTTATCCATTTAGGTTTGTTCTTTTTAAGATATGAGGGACATAGCATCAAGGGATCGAACAGTAATTTTCTATATAAATATTTTACATATGGCGTTGATCTCTATACTGCTGTCATGCATTTTATCATGTGTGACAAAGCGCGAGCACACATTTGCTATCCTAAATTTACCAATAAACTTTTTCATATTTGATTCGGTTATGGTTAGATTCGGGATCGTCATAATTAAAAATACGAATTCATCCTATAGTCTGATATTGTATACGACCATTACTAATGAACTATTACAGTGTATGTAAACGAAAGAGCTAAAGAGCTGCTGCATTCGACATGAAGGGTAACCAGTCACTTGTGTTGCAAGCATGCTATCAAAGAAACTAGCAATCTCGATATAACAGTAGCAGCGATCTGTCGATGAGACAATAATTACATCATGCGCATCGTTTATTCATGGGACTAGTATTAGTATCAATGTTTGTAGTATATTTTGAGTTACAAGTATAATCGCATGAGCTCTAGTTGCGTTCCATCAAGCGTAATCACTACATGCACAAAGAATATCAAACGCAAGTTTTAATGTCGTCAAGAAAACTTCTGCAAAAGTAAATTCTTTACAAGTCATCGAAGAGCATAGTAAATTTATGGGAAACATGTGAATTATTATTGTTAAATAGTCAACGAGGAATAATCGCCGTTGATGAGCAAGTTTATGATATCCTTGAGAATAGAATCAGTAAAGGCAAAAAAACCTTTACTAATCAATAAAAAAGAAGTTTTTATGAACCGATCGACTGTCTAATAGCGGATTAATGTAATACAAAATTAAATGTTTCCTTGATGACATTTCAGGCCTTGTTTTTACTTGCCAGTAGAATATTATTTTATACATCCCGACGAGCTTATCGACATCATGCAAATATTCTAAATTATGTAATCGAACATCACACGTGGAATGACATCGGATGATACACCGCATACGGAATTTTTCTATGCCATAATCATAAAACATATGAAAAAAAAACCCGCTCGGCCAATTCTATAGTTTATGGCATCCAGTCACGTACTAGTCAATTTTACTCACCAAAAATACACACGTCGTGTGCATGAATCACCAGATTTACCCCTCCCGGATTACATATAAATTGAGAATGCGGAATGACCGCACACTTTGCGGAATATATCTCCACACTTGTTACGGCTATAACTGCCTCAGTATCCAAAGCCACTTCCAACACAGATACTTGTATCTGGCTTAATTGTGTGTCGTCCCTTTTATATTTCCTCAAGAGATACTTTTTTAAAAACCACATCAACCATAATCATCGGTCTAATCCTATCAACATAATATGTGGAACGACAAGTTTTTCGTTCTAAATACGCTCAATGCGGCAGCACTTCTATTCTCTATAATAGTTCTAAGTCTGCTGGCTGGATGGGCATCAAATACACAAAGGGACTTTGACATTTTACACCCAACCGACTTGTTTCTCACGACAACGATTGCCGTCGTATCTGGAATGTTTAGTTCCGGTAACATAATTCCGTCGGTCATGCGACGATTAGGATATTCAAAATTCGTTTACATGACTCAGCGTATACTGGCCGGTTCGTGGTTTCTTGCCTTTATGTCTATGACACTGTTGGAGAACAAGAGTGGTATTTTGGATAAAAACCTGGAATTGACTTCCGAGACTGCAAATGTCGAAGCCGCCATACTGGTCAATAGACTCGCTAATGTTATCAGAGTATTGACGATTTTTAATGGATGCATATACGTTGGTCTTTCGTATATCGTTTACAAGATAAGCGTAGGCAGAGGACTATCAAACTTAACCAAGCTTGAAAAGTTTATTCGGCACAGTCAGTACATACTTCGAAACAGTCAGTGCTTTTTCCGAAACAGTCAATCCGGTTTTCGTCAGTCCATGTTTGCAAATAACGTAAGTAATTGAAAACTCGCATTTATAAAATCATGAAAGGAATACTTTTTATCAACTGTTATCATAACAAACATACTCACCCACCCCCACCCGTCTTCTCTTTGAATAGGATACACTTAAATCCCAGCCCACGGAGGTCGTTATTCGTGTACCAGATCGCGCATTTACCAAAGAAACACGCGAAGACGAAAAACAAGTGTATGCGTGTGCATTGTATGATTACAATGGCTCCGATGAAGTCGACTTGAGATTCAAAGAAGGAGAAGTTATTAGAGTAACAAAGTACAGCCGGAATCAAAATGAGTGGTGGGAAGGAGAAGTAAACGGACAATATGGAGAGGTAAGAAGAGTGGTGGTGGTGGTGGTGGTAGAATTGTATTGTAATACATTTATTTTGAATTAATGGCTAACACATCCATTTCTTTATCAACAGTTTCCTGGTACATACGTGAAAGTGGTCTAATCATAATACCGGCATGAGCGCATATAATATAATACAGTACAGTACAATACACTATACAAATATACCAAGCATCGCATTAGAATAATATAATACAATGCAATGCAATATAAAGCAAATAATTGTAACAATAATTGTATAACTCCCTTTACATGACTGTTATCACAAGGTTGATGATGAGCAAACCGTAAATAAATGCACATGTTGCGTGCGGTTGCGAGAAATAGTTAGTCGAAAAATGTACCTTGTTTGACAGGTGATTCCGGGGTAATATCCATTTTTGGAATATTTGATTTTTAAACACATTTTAAAGAGAGAGCGAATAAATATTAATTAAGTAACCATATCAAGTTCTCATATCCCGAATGTAACCAAAATGGTTTACTCGAATCCGTCGATCGCTTCTCGAAAGAAGGGTGGGATCGATTTATTACACGTATACAAGTTATGACTGCTATATAAGCCAAAGATTGTCTAATACGCATGGCAACTTAAAACTTGCATTATTTCCAAACGCGAATAACGTAGAAAAGGAGAGGGAGAGGTGTATGATTAGTAAACCTCTTGATAAATCGACGATGCGCGATTGCCAAATTTCACTTGGAAAATATCGACTTATCTGGCCAGAGAAGCAAAAAAGAAAAATCAAGACTTTTGCATAGCCGTTTTAGATCGGAAAAAGACTTCCGTGAAAGGATATAATAATAACAAATTTTGTGGGGTAAAAAGAACGTATACATTGTTGTAATAGCAAACCGGTAGTATGAAGCTGTTATGGCAATGCTTTTCCAATGCCAATAATTGTGTAATGCGCTGTTCTAATAAACGTTTCTATCACTACGTAAGAGATTTTCATCCAGTTTGCTTTTCCTTTGGCTTGTAAAAAAATTCACTAGTTTAATTAAAAGATAGCGCCTGGCATTGCAACTCCCGTCCTGCTACGCAGGGTGTCTGAAAAGCTTTGATAATGATTTTAATTCAAAATAAATTACTACATCTCTTCAAAGTACTCTCCGCCTACTTCTACGCAACGTTTAAGCCTTTTCTGCCAACTCTGAAAGTACTTATCTTTTGGTATGCTGTCAGACACTGCCCGAACAGCCCATGCAAGATTTTCAACATTCTCAAACTTGCTTCCACACAGTTCTTTTTTATTATAGGAAACAAAAAAAGTCACAGGGAGCTAGATCTGGACTGTAAGGGGGGATATGGCAGCAATTAGACCCTTCTCTCTTTAAGTAACTTCTGCCTTGTGAGGTCATGATAAAGAATCACATCACAAACAGTGCGCCTGCAAGACATTTCCATAAAGTTAGCAAAAACTTCTAGCAGTACTGTGTTGACATAGTATAGAGAAGTAACATATAGTCCTTTAGTATTAGGCACCACTATTCTAGCCACAACCCCCTCTACAGTGAAGAAAACACGAAACATTCTTTTTTAGACGTGCGAGCAATCTGTGGTCTTATTGTCTTCTTTAGTTGAAACAGTATACATATGTAATAGTTAAACCAGGTTTCACCAGTAATAATATTTTGAAAACCGCCATCTAAAATTTATAACATCTACTTTGCAAGTTCAACTCGTTTTTGCTTATTATGACATGCGGAATCCATCTTGAACACACTTAAGTTGGCCATGTAATATGGACTCAATTCTTTCTTTAGAGATCCCAACTTCCTCCTCTATCATCCTTATGGTGATGTGGGGGTTATCATCTACCAGTTCCTCCACCTTCGCAAGAACGTCCTGAGCGGGGGTTATCTTCAATGCTCTCATCCCCGTCTTCGAATGCTTCAATCCACCGGTAAATTCGTAGGACCTTCAGCAACCCTCAACTCTTGGTAGATTTGTTTCGCTGTTCGACCGTTTTTCCAGCTAACATAGACGTAGTAACGTTGATGTTCTCGCTTATTTTTCTCCATTAGGTTTAGGGTATGATTTTTCGAAGTGAATTTCTCAACAACTGTCAAATGCTAACTTGAACATTATTTTTTTATTTAAAAAAGTGCACAGATTGTCGCAATACATGTACATTGTAACTGCTGGCATTATATTTGCTTCTTTGTCTTATCGTCTGATTGTTTACTTATTGGTGAAGGCATAATTGTAACTGCTGGCATTATATTTGCTTCTTTGTTAACCAGGCGCCTTCATTGCTGGTGGTTTGTGTGCTGTGAATTAAGGGGTTTATTTGAAGTACGAAATTTACGATCTTTGTCAGTTTGGTCAATTTGGTGCAAATTAACTATCTTCATTGTTGTATCTTTTCTTCATTACCTTCCCCGTCTAGATCTCTTCATTAAATCATTGCTTAATCATTTGCTTTGTCTTTTTCCGTGGGTTTGGTTTTTCGTAAAACAGTTCATAGTGGAAGCACCAGATTATTCCTTTACCTAGTAATTTTATGTTAGAACAATCCGCAAAAGCAATATCGTTGAGGTACCAACTGGTAATGGGGGTTATCCAAAATATAAGTTGCCTTTTTTTTTTTTTTACCGTTACTGCCATACATACCACCACACATTAAATTTCTTCACTTGTCGTTGTATTTCAGCATGCTGTTGACTAACATGTGGCTTTAGCCTTCATCTCTTCTCACTAAGTAAGAATTCTTCCAAATGGTTACAAGCTTGCGTGGTTATGGAAAACGTTCCTTACCGGCCAATCTGTGCTCCCACGGCACGCGTCTCCTTGGTCTCGGTGGGGATAAAGGGCGTTCTCGCAGCGCGCAACTTATTTCAAAATAATAAATTCTCTTGAACATTAGACCAAGATGACTGACATGTTTATAAATGCTCTCTGGAAAGTAAGGAATCTGGATGGTAACATACAAAATGCTGAGAACGTTCAGCTTCTTAGTACTGATTATGCAAACGCGATTCAACGACTGTTTGTACATCCTGCTTGCCCACAACAACGATACTATAGTTATCTCCTAGCGTAGTAAAAATATAACAATCTTAATCTTATGTTACTCGTTCCACGTATCATTATCATATGATATGTAAACGGATAGCTTCTTCAAAGTAAAAGCAAAAGCAATTTTACTCATAGCAGTGTATTTCATTAAACACTTTGTTTAATTCCCAAATATTCGATAAATGCCCATTGACTATTTTATCCGCGACCATGACCCCTGATTCCATTCGGCTTATTCTTAAAGACTTTTTTAGTAATTTGATAATGAGCTCTAAAAATGCAGGGTCGTATTCTGTTTGGATTACATCATGCTAGTTGTAAATTCTAAGCCCGCGACATACAGGCTTTTTCAATCTTTATATTTAGAACAATTCATATTTCGTTATCAAAAATTGCAATTGTATGCAGACCAGATTTTACTCCAATCAAAGGGAGATTCTCCGTTTCACAAGATTACCTTTTTTATCCGTTTCCTGGAGAACAGTTTTTTGGTTTCATAAAATCCTGTTTTCCGTCATGACCTTGTTCTATGTAGAATCGCGAGTCGGGCATGTTTTGTTCAGTGCGGAAGGAAAAGACCGAGCGAACCAAGTAGTCCAAGATATGTTTAATGGAACTCGCAGAGGATGTTTATTTTGTTTTCGTATTGTTATTAGCACTTGCGACGTGCATGACGCATTTAGCAATATTAATGTTAATCGAACATCTTGCCATACAAGGATTGATATATTAGTTGTATGTGATTATCTTTTCCATATAGGTCGAGCTTTGCTTGATTTGAATTTATCGAAACATCAAAGCTAAAAGTTATATTTAGTATTAGTAGCTTTGAAAATAATGCATGTCTGTGTCACTTACGAAAAGAATTTGTAATGGCGATATTGTCAAAAATGTCAAAATACTGACAACGACACATTTCGAATTGCAGTAAAGGTAATCTTCATTATTTCCTTTAATACCAAATTAAGAAATTGAGGCATTTTGTGTGCGACTGTACAATGTTTCAAACTATATTGGCTTTATACTTGGCCAACAACCTTCCCAGGTTTTTTTTATTTATAGCGAATGTTCAAATGTTTATATTTCGACGGAGGACATATGTTCATGCGTTATCTATATCCTTATATATATTTAAAGTATTACACAAATGTTCGGACATTTGCGGTTTGCCGCACACTAGGCATTCTAGCCTACCATATCAATACTACGTTATCCATATTAATATGTATGATAAGTTATCGCATTGACATCATAATGCAAATGCTCTTGGCTTTCGTCAATTGGTTGCCTCATGGCGATCGATCTGGATGGAGATCTTGCGTATAGTATCTCACGTTAGTTAGACCAATGGCTGTTGACTGCTTTATTGCTATATTATGGGTGTTGTCGTTGCAAATAATAATGAAAAGGTTTGCCATTTTAGTCAGTCGAATATGAAGTTGAAATTAATTTCATCAAAAGCAGTTATCTTGTTTGTCATTTATCCACAAGATAGTATCGATGTATTACGACAAAAATTGGTGTCAGAGATTACCTAGTTGGAGACTACGTACTTGGTATTCAATATAATAAATATTTGGAATGCTGCATATGTGCTATGTCTTGTAATTGATTATTTCTATATTAGTCGATACCCTTCCATTGATGTCTCGTTTTATACATCAAAGATAGAGGATAATGTATTATACTCAAAGATGCATGAATATGTATCTAATGTATAAAAATTAGAGTACTCCAACCGTCCTTATGAAGGAACTTGCAAGTTCCAAAGACGTAGACGGGGTTTGTTTACAGCAGCGGGTGTAGTGTATATAGGTATTGTGTCTAAAATGGACACATGCCTATGCGGGTCGAAAGTTTGTGATCCGGTTACATTGTTTCATTTCTGTACTCGCAAGTCATTGTCGGAGAACAGTGAACTTGAAATTGGTGGGATTTTTTTAATTTATACAATCAACAGTTCATCTGATTGTGAATGATATATGCGCAGCATTATGAATGCTTACTATTTTCGCAGAAATGCCCATTTATGATATGCTTTAATATTATTGTGCGTCCGACGTTTCAATTAATCCATACTCCGTCTTTCTATTAAAAATATTCCGATATTTTTAAACTATCCTTAATGTATCTCTGACAAGGTTTACTGTACACCCCACAATACTTAAATAGTAATATAAGTCTGCCATTCCCCAAATTTCAATCGATTGATTGATTATTTTACCGACTAGACGCACTCTCCCTAAATCAAACGTCGAGTCGCTGGCCCTAGATGGGACATCCTGGTAATCGATCGACCAAAAAAAGAGAGGTACTTGATACAATATTTACGAACGATATTATAAACGAAGCATCATAAGAAATACGACCACAAACGACAACAGCTACAACGACACTATAACTACTACTACTACTGCTGCATAATCATAGATCTTACTCTGTAATATATAAAAAAGTATCAACCTCCCCCTCCACCTCCCCCTCCACCTCCACCTCCACCTCCACCTTAATCTCCCATACATTCCATCCACCACATCAAACCCCGCGCGAAATAACAGAAGAAGTAATGCCACTAGCGCCGGACGCCATCGCCTACTATGCTCTTCACATAATCGCAATTCCCCTATCTTTATTCACCTTTATCATATACCGCCGCAACACCAACTATTCAATTATCGCCTACTATTCTCTCACCACCATCGTATTCGCATTAATCACAAGTCCCATTGCATTCATTTCCGATGGAAAGGGTGCAAATGCCGAGTTATGTACCTTCCAGGGTATGATGGTGTCTTACTGCCTGGTAGCCATTGGGACATGGATATCATCTATAATGTTCACAATGTGGTGGTTAATATTCAAGGGAGAAGAGATTGAAACGCCGACTTGGTTTTGGCTGGGAATTTGGCTCATACCAATATTGGGAACTACTGTCGCTAGCGTTGTAGCTGCTCGCAGCGGAGGCATTGAATCGTGGAATTATTTTTGCATGATTTCTGAACCCCTTGTTGCTACGTAAGTGTTTGATGAACCTCGTGCGAGGGTGCGTGAATACAAATGGAAATGAGACACATTTTTCCCCTCCAAAAATCCATTTTACAAATATTTGTTCTATTTTCGTTCCCTCCATAATGTAGTAGCCTCGGAGTATTCCTCGCAATATCACTTTCTGGTCTCGGTGCATCTGTACTATCAGGTAACTACGACAACACGCATATCTTGTATTACATGCTATAGTTCGAGAACTTGTGTGTCCTCATTACCGTTTGCTCCCTCGTTTTCTCCTACTATTTGTAGGCATAAATGCATTTGCATTATATCAGTTCTGGAAGGGCGAAAGACAAGGAATATTCGCTAATGAAATCGAAATGCACTTCCGAACTTTAACTTTCGGAATACTAAGCTCAATAACTTTATTAATACTATCAGGTATATATTTATATATATTTATATAACATTAAACTTTATGCACAATATTTTAATTACGTTCTTGTCTTCTTTTTCTTCTTCTCGCAGGGACACGCATGATCCAAATCATAAGCTCGGGTGACTTGCCCACTTACTCAGCTTACCCCGACTTTCTCACATGTCTCTTTCCTTATATCAGCTTTTTTACCTTTGGCACCACAGCTGAAGCACGAAGATACTGGACTCCCCGATGGTTATCAAATCCATGTGTCGATCGAGCAAATAATGTCTTGGACCAATTCTCGATCGTATATCCACCCAAAAAGCCTTCCGTCTTGAGCGAACGTGGAAGGAATGAAAAGAATAGTAGAAACGAGGAATTGAGTAGTATATACACGGAAAACTATACAGGAGAACCATCGCACATGATGGTTGAACAACGAAATTCCCAACACTCGGGATTTCTGCAAGTAGCTCCTTTGACACATGATCCGTCTAGCAATAGACAATCCCATGTCATATCCGTAAAGGGCAAGAAGCGTGCATCAGATGCATTTCGCGCAAGCGTACATCAGTTCTTGCGAGCGAGTATCACTAGTGTTAACCAACTCGGGTCGCGTATTAGTCCCCAAATCATACCCTACCAACAACAAGAAGATGATCCCACAACAAAATCAGACATTAACCAAAACGTAAATATTACAATAGATGATCCCGAACGTTTGTCCTTTGGTAACTGGCAGGCAGGTGGCGCTCCGTTGCGAACAAGCCGGAACCGAGACAGTTTCCCTGTGTATCCCTCTGCACAACATAATTATCCAATGGCTAGAACAGACGAGACTGAACGAAAGGAACGAAAGAGTCGAAAGTCTCTATACGAGATTATATACAAAAGAAAAAGAAAGAGTACAAGAGAGAGAAATTCAAAAAAATCTAGTCGTAATAGAATTTTCTCGACACCAATGATTTCATCGTCTGCACGTATTACATCCTCTTCTCGAACTGCATCTTTTTCGTACCCTCCCAAAAAGACCAGTCGACGCGATTCTATTTCAGACGATTTGCGCTTTCTGAAAGCTTTCTCTTTCGAGCTCCGAAAGGGTAAGAGAATACTAGATTTTCCAGAAGAGTATATTATAAAGTCAGACACGCAAAGCATTGCATCCTTGTCTTTGCGCGAAATCGAGAAGGATGACAACCTCCAATCGTCATCGTCATCGTCACTACCATCGCCGACTTACAACGAACGTGGCCAAAAAGTGTTTGACAAGAGATGTTTGCGCATCACTAATCAACTCGACGTTGAGCTCGAGGTCACTGCACCTTCAGACGAAATTCCTTATCTTTCTGTCACACGCCCACGATCGTCGTCGTCATTGTCGTTGGCATCGTCGTCATTATTGCCGGATTCACCGTCGACACAAAGAACTTTGCGCAAGGTTCCTCGGCCACCCCAATTAATAATACCGCCGCCGCCATCACCGAGTAAACTAAAGCCAGCACATCTTTCTCAACCGATAAGCTTCTCGTTCTTGAACAATTCTCCTTTCGAGTCCTCTTCTGACGTTCAGGACTATCCTACTCGAGACTACTATACGCAAGCTGAGGATTCGCGGAGATACACGCGAGCTACTACAGCTTCATCAGCGAGCACGCGGAGTAGAGATTCTTTTGAACGGACGTCACCGAATGGGCTCAGGTTGACACCAAGAGCTAGTATGCCAGTGTACACCTTGAATTTGCCGCCATTGCCTAATAGTCAGCGTAACTCTTGGGAAAATGGCAGGAAGCGCGAGTCTCTTGGGAGTATTCCAAGCGTAGTCAGTGAGGAAGAAGAAGAAGAAGTAGAAAAAGAGAGGGAAGAAGAGTGATGAAAGAGGGTTCAGCTTTATTTGAGAAATGAAACTTGCATACTTAATTGTTCGGAATCGACTTGTAATATTTTTTTGATTGATAATATTAATGTTTGGGGCTCTATATATATGGGATAATTTTGGGATGGGTGGGAGTGGGTCTCTTGTGTTTATTTTCGAGAGGGACTTTGACATGTATTATTAATATAGTATTTAATGAGTAGGGTGTACCGTAATGGGGATTGGTCTTTTTTGTTAAATGTTCGCCCGCGTAACGTTCGAAGTAATTATAGACCTCTGTATAAAGAACAAACAAAAATAAATAATGTATGTATAGTGTTCAGTGGAATGATATACGGTTTAGAAAGAAAAAATCTTGCCTTCCATATACTGACCAGATGTCGCGTAAACACAAATCTATTATATAAATATCACCTCATGGCACATTGTTTAGCATATACTACTTTAAATTCAAAAAAAAAACCCCCCATGGAATAAGGAAAGTGCAATCTCCCAAAGAAATTCATACATCCTATATCCTCGGGTTCAACTCGGCAAATTAGCAGAAATGGGAATTAGAACCATTTCAAAAGCCTTTGGTTATAAAAATGGTGTACCATTTAGCAACCTCAATGCTTGCCAATGCACGCAACAAGCCAAGTTACAAACATCCACAAATGACATGTTAATGTGGGAAACAGCAAGTAAATCCTCATTTAGCTAACTAGCTAACCTTGCAATTACCATAGCCAAGACCAATTTTTTGAGATTACAGTTAATATGTAGAGCACTATTCCATGACGAAAAGTCTCTAGCCCAAAGACTGATAAGCATTAAAGACTTTGTTGTTGTTTTTTTGTGCCGATTTTTCCATTCGCGAGGTAATTATGTTATAATAGGACAATAAGTAGAAAACTTGGTATGATGAAACTTTGATTTTTCTGAAAGAGCGAGTCTCTCAATGTAACCATGTTATACTAATATGTCGGTATTATGCATTTATTAGAGTCAACCCTATTTTATCAGAAATGAGAGAGAGAGTGTCCTTTACAATGTGAGCTTGCTCTAATAAATGATCCCAAATAACTCAATTGTAGCACTCGCAATAAAACTAGATTTCGAATACTGCAAATATGGTAGTATTATTATTCTGTTTCAAATACTATATTTTTTTTTAATACCAAATAGAAGATATTCACTCCGCAAAGTCTATACAAAGAAAGAGAGCTTTTTTAATTGATAGACGTATTATGTGTCCTAATACATAAACTAGCGAATAAATGTGGTAATTTTCTTGACGTTTCTAAAACCCCTATATAATGTGTAGTTGTTCTAACAACATACTATGTATTCAAGAAAGGTTTTCAGGTTTTTGATATAAACCCTCCATAGACGTAACGCTCTATACAAAGTACCGGCATAAAAATCTCTCATGGGAGATGTATTTACTCAACACTTGCATAGACAAAGTTGCTAGCCATGGCATCCTGCCTTGTTGCTATAAAAGAGACAAACAGATTTATTTCAATACGGAGACAAAAAAACTAATCACGCTTTGCTTTCGACTCGGGCAAAACCCAAGGCTTGCCATTTATATTTCTTGGATTATCTTTGGAAGAATAAAAGATCTTTGGGACCTAATCCTTGCAAACTAGCAGGTAAATATTCTACTCCTACTACAAGTGGGTCTCGATATAACGACACGCTCGGTTCCAATCCAATTGGTCACTATATCGAGAATGTCCTTATATCGAGAATTAACTTACATACGACAACTAAGCAATATAAAATTTTCGTTCTAAGATTCCTGTCGTTATAGTTATAGATAAATGCATTCTGCTATTGGTGTAAAATACCAAGACCTTTCGATTGGACTTGTCATTATATCGAGACTCACTTGTATTCAGGTATCTTAGCTTGTATTACTATCTCGGTTTACTGTAGGTTCATTTTTATTGAGCGATTCTTTTTTGCCTTGTAATATTTTGATTACGCTGTTCGCTTTTGATTCCATGCAATAATTAGTTTGATTCATACGATATTAATATTATGATCACAAACCAGCAAAACAATTGCGAGATACGTGTAATCCGTCTTTCTTAATTAACAAGGTAAATCCCCAATTTTGAGCCCTCACCGTCGTTATTTCTGATTATGATATGAAAGCACCTGTTAGGACTGCGATAATATTGTGACTATCGGCTGCTTCCTTGTCCGATATCCGTTTAGAAAAATTCCTTATTTACTATGAGCCAAGCATGATTAATGTTTGCAGTCATACCGGACATCGCTTTATTGCATAATTAAAGAAATTTCCATGCAGTTATTCGTTCCGAGTTATATTGGTCATTAAACATGAACTACATCTTTAAGCGTTAGAATTAAACTCATTTGCCTGACTTGCTCCTCATACGACCATTCAAAATTAAAGGGAAGACGAGCAGTTTGCGAAACAAGATAATAAAGACGCAAGTTAACTCAGGGTGGGGTGATCTTAGTTTGCCCTTTATGTAAGACAAAAATGTATAAATGCATGCATTAATAATTATTGAGCTACGTAAGACCAACAAACTGCTTTGCGACTAAACCGCAATCTTTAATTGTGCAATGTCTGTGTACAGTATAATGGCATCGGTTTGTCGAGTTATATCTTTTAGATGATTGCAAGTGTTGGACTACTTGTAGACTAATTGTATGGGCTGCGATTCGATCCTATTAACCTTAATACATGAGTGACGCTCAATTCTCGTCCACACAATAAATGTGTTGTATATCTATAGTTTTTATTACTAGCATGGAACCAACGAACGAACGTCACAAATACAAATGAAAAGATTAATGAAATTCGACCTGTCAATCATTGCACCTTACTTCTTCTTTCAAAATGGGTTATGACCAGTACAAATAAACAGGGCTAATACGAATGATATGCATTTCTGTGCTTATCTTCATGAACTTAATTGGGATGGCTCTTTATTAATGATATTGTATTATGTAAAGGATCTGCGATTGTTGTCTGCAGAGAGGTAAATAGCTTGCATAAAATATGCGATCTACCACATGTCGAAATAGAGCTTGATTACAAAATGAATTAGAGCGGTAAGGTGTCGTAATAGAAATTCGTTTGTCTTGCACGTACGTTATCTATCACGTCAGCTCAGTCTGGTGATGCGTAATTAAGAATGTATCAATCAAATGCTAGATATCTCACCCATATTTTGTCCCAACTAAATCAAGATCTAAAGACAGGAGTATGTGTCACAACTTGACGAACAAAAAAAAAATATTAATATGAGGTGTTCTGACGCCACAAACAATTCCAGATCAGCAGCCACACTAATCCGTCTTGCGTAATTCAAGGTCAACACATATCTATGCACAATTTGGCAAGATTAAACAAAGCAATTATCTTTAATAAACATATCTGCATTTGATAAGATATCGTAATAAATTTGCAGACTCATTCGATACTTTTACTCGATTAGTGAAACTAACCTGATACAAACATGTTTAGAGAAATGTAGGTATCGGATTTTAACAAACCAATGTTTTAAAGATAGCCGTAAAGTTTAATTGTTTGTTTGCACAAATGTAATTGATTGCTTGAAAAGCGAAAGTAAAAGCACCAAGCTAGTTGTCTAATTGCCAATAGTTTTCTCGCTCAACTGCTATACGAGTTGAGGGCAACAACATACAATGTCCGGCTTATTGCTGACCAATTCAAAACAATGTATCGCTTCCTGCCAAGACAATTCTTTATGGTATGCTTAAAAATATAACCGCTGCAAAACATGTGAAATCAAATTTTGAAAACTTCTTAAGAACCATAAAACTACAAAGTGCAACCATGTTTTTATGAAACACGGATACATTTCTAAGGGAATCGTTTTTTACAAAAGTGATGTAGTTTAATAACCTTTTTGAGTAAGTATATTTGGGCATTCCATGATCTCCACTTCTCAGTAGATCATATGAAACTTACTCTATCACAAGCCAGCAGTCTAAATTCGAAGCATATTTTAGTACGCGTGTGTCGTCAGGATTGTCTTGGTGCGTTCGCATATACGTCAATTAAAATTTAGGTTGGATAATTAATAGACAGTCAAGGGTATTCTTTTCTGCATTTACGATTGAACCATACGATTGACGACATACGAATTGACTGTACACAACTTGTTGATAAAACGAACCAATTTGTTTTATTCTCTTGGGACGTATCTTGGCGCTATTGGCGTAACCTGTCAATTATGATGTATAATAGATACGTTTATGGATATGGCGTACGTACTATAACATTCTCCTATTGTGATAAGGCTGTGCGGAGTTCTGCATTTAGTCAATAAGATATCAATTCCGACGGCAATAGTATTATGTAGGGACATATTGGCTTTTCTCTTTTTTGAAGGTTACAAGGGTGCCAGCGAATTAGTAATTTCAAAAGAACAAAGGAAGTTTCAAACGAAAAAAAAATTATATTATTCACAACAAACAATCGCACAACTTGCCCAAATTTGTCCATTCTTTTTTGTGTTACCCCGGCTATATTAAACGTCATGATGCATAAACAAAAAGCAAATATACATAATAGAATACATACAAATATAAATAAAATTAAACTATGCCACAAACAACTATCATAAATAGGCAATTGTACAAGGGCAATCCTTAACCAATGAATTCAAATGCCGAATGTGGCTGATACGGAAAGTGGGGGGAAAGCCGTTCATTGTGTGTTGCAAGACTATTATTATCCTATTGTCTATTTTCACAAAGTCGATGTTTCGTTATGTTATGTCCTGTCTGTCCCAACACCTTTGTTTTAAATGTATGTGTTTGATGATTCAAATTTCTTTATTCTCGATAACTGTGTAAGATAAGATGCCTCATATACAAACAATCAGTTTCTTTTCGGAGTATGGTTTTGGGTCTGTAAATCGTAACACTATGGTCGCACACATGTGTTTTCGGCTATCAAAAGCATGATCAATCAGATGGATAAAAATAGGTTAAGTATAGTTATAGTATATATAATAATAATAATGAACTATTATAGTGTATTATAAGCATTTCGTAACACATCAATCTCGGGTTCTCGGCATTTTTGTGCAACAATGTTGGTTGCAACACGCGAGCTATACAGCTTCCAAGTATTATAAATAAGCCCACACCTCGCCTACCTTTCCATCATTCAATTTGGGTCAGGTACCAAGTATATAACTTTTTCAATCAGATTCTTCATCTCTTACCATCCCCAGGAGGGTTGCAGGCAATTTCGATACGAATATATTCTATAGGAAACGCATTCCCTATATTTCTTATCACATTTTCATAGTACGTCCTAGCGACTACCAAAAAAATCATCCGTTTACCTGAAATTATCACCATATAATTTTCGCTATCTTTATACTATCAAGCACAACACAATGAAGCTTCCATCAATCTCTCTTACCCTCCCCTTTGCCCTTCTTGCAACCCTCTCCTCCTTGACCTCCGCTCACATGACAATCCAAAATCCTCTTCCTCGCGCACATCCCCTTAATCCCAATGCCGCAACAAAAGACTTTGACTGTATCATGGCTCCCCTTAACGGAGGCGGTCCTTGTGCTCCAAAGCCCTTTCCATGTGGAGGATACCCCCAGGATACGAAAATCACTCAAACGTTCCGTGCCGGAGAAGTAATCACTGTCGAATTCTTTAACCAGAATTTCCCCTCCGACCCCAGCAATTCAGACCCCAATGCTGATCAAGCCAGACATAACGGTGGACAGTGCGAATTCTCATTGAGTTACGACGGCGGTAAAACTTATACCGTTATTGGATCATACAAAAAGACCTGCCCCGATATCTTTTTCGGCTGGAAAGTAAAGATTCCCCAGAACGCTCCTAGCTGCGACAACCCAGGACAATGTCTCTTCTCCTGGTCATGGATTAATGCCGTCGGCAACCGCGAATTCTATCAAAACTGCGCTGATATCAAGATCGAGGGTAACTCCACCAAGGCACTCCCAATTATCGACATTACTCGTGCTAATTTGCCTCCTCAGTTCCCTCAAATTATCACTCCCCCTGGCGATCCTGCCAATACGGGAAATGCTAAAGGATCAGGACCGAGTGCGGCTGACACTAATGCTAATTTGAACTTGCAAATTGGAAGTGGGAGTGGAAGTGGAAGTGGAAGTGGAAGCGGAAGTGGAAGCGGAAGTGGAAGCGGAAGCGGAAGCGGAAGTGGAAGTGGAAGTGGAAGCGGAAGCGGTGGAAAAAAGGGTGGAAAAAAAGGTGGAAAAAAATCTGGAAGCGGTAGTGCATGCTCTGCTGAAGGTCAAATGGCATGCGTAAATCCAGGCAAGACTGGTGACTTTACTACCTGCGCTAATGGCAAGCTCATCACCCGATCTTGTGCTGCTACTCTAGTTTGCAAGACCGCCGGTACCTCCATTGCCTGCGATTACGCTTAAGTCGTAAAAACCATATAATGTATTTGTAACTTACATATAGCTTTAGTTGTGCTAATATTTGTGTTTCCTTTAGCTTTGTATAAATCCACATTCTTTTTTTTTTCCTTCAATTCGGTTGGAAATGGATTTTCCTTGACCGTATTTTCCTTTCTAACCTTATTAATTGTCTCAATAATATCTCCTGGGGATACATATCAGATTGAAAAAGGTTTATTATCTAATATCATAATACCAATTCATCAATAAACGTTTTCATTCGTAAATATGCAATAAATAGAAAACAAAAAAGTTCATTATAAGAGTGTGTTTACAAATGATCAACTATTACTATGGGTTGTTCGAAAGACCGGTGTACATATCTCAATCCACATAAACCAATAATTTGATTTGCGAATTTAACATGTTATATGAATTATCATATGAGTAGCTTGTTTTTCTGAATTTAGAAGCATTGTTAACATAATAAGAAAAGGGTAAATATGAAACGCAATCTAGTGACATGTTCGACATATTTGCTATTCTGGTCATGCAACGTGACGGATATATTAAGTTAGTTAACCTTATTAGGGTTATAAATAACTACAATAATAAGGACAGCATTCCTAGAACGAAAGCTTGTCGTTCCACATATTATGTTGATGGAAAAATCGAGCGGTTAGACCGATGGTTATGGTTGATGTGGTTTTAAAAAAAAGGTATCTCTTGAGTGAATATAAAAGGGACGACACACAAGCCAGATACAAGTATCTGTGTTGGAGGTGGCTTTGGATACTGAAGCAGTTGTAGCCGTAACAAGTGTTGAGATATAATTCCGCAAAGTGTGCGCATTCTCAATTTATATATAATCCGGGAGGGGTAAACCTGGTGATTCATGCACACGACGTTACTGTCTTGGATAAGTTAAAGTGTGTTTTAGTGAGTAAAATTGACTAGTGCGTGGCTGGATACCATATTAATATACGACTAGAATTGGCCGAGCGGGTTTAGAAAAATTCCGTGTGAAGTTCGTATTACATAATTTAGGATATTTATTTGCATGATGTCGATACTTATTCTACTGGCAAGTAAAAACAAGGCCTACAATTTCATTAAGGAAACATCTAGTCGATCGGTTCATAAAGACCAAATTGTGGATCATGTACAAGTCAAGATAAACTCACATCACACTAGTCATTTCAAAGGCTCATTCGACAAACAATACAATTACATACACTAACACACTCATCATCAGCGTTCTATTTACCGACTTTTTGTGTATTTTGCATGGTTCCTTGTCATCTCTAACAAAGCGAAGGAATAACATTTACATTATTTCAATTCAATTAAGTCGTAAATTAATTCAGTAATTGGTTCAGCAATTCCCGCTACGTGATGTGAGACTCGAATTAGTATACTACAATTAACACCCATAGCAACATGTTTAGCATCATTCAATGACGCGATTACAAAATATGTGAATAAGCAGGATCGGAATGATAGAGAAAATGTGTATCAAGTCGGAGAAACTAGAAGTGATCCATATAATTAAGAAGCCACTATAAAAAATGAACGACATTGTTAGCAGAGTTATCGTCAAACAGGTTTAGATATCTTGACTATATTTCCAGACACTTACTAAAGTCATTGAGTTCTGACTCGGGGGGACATTCTGTGATGTTGACTTCAAACCGTTCCTGCACTTTCTGAAGAGTCTCTGCGTCTTCATTGTTGGCAACAAATGTTACGGCAATACCTTTTGTACCGAATCTGCCAGCACGACCGACCTACGAGAGTGGATGCCATACATTTATGAGCATGTTGTTTATAACAACAAACAACGTCAATAATTTGCTTACTCTATGTAAATATGTATCCGGTCCATCGGGCATGTCATAATTGATTACAATATTTACTCGCTCGATGTCAATACCACGTCCAAAGACATCTGTCGCAACCATGATTCGCTTGTGGAAGTCTTTAAATGATTTGTACTTCGCAATACTGGAGAATGATAAAATAGAGGTTAATAAATATATCATAAGGGTATTAATACAAACTAAGATTTGGATTCAGCTTAAACAGACATGGAAGGAGTTAAAGCCGATTTAGAAACCCGAGCTCCATCTTCTCCTTAATGTTGCTTATCAATAATAAACAACAATGTGTAGATAATGTATAGTCATCAAAACATTGCTATTAAACCCATTCACTTACCGATCCTCCTGCTTCATCTGCCCATGGATACAAATGCTTGGGAAGTTACACTCGCACAGTAACTTGTTCAGTTCGGTCGCTCGCTGTACGGATTTCACGAAAATACATACTTGATTGAATTCAACTTCATCAAGTATGTCATTAAGCTTTCGATTTTTCATGCTCTCTTGCAGTTTTGTGTAATACTGTTTCAAACCGTGAAGCGTTAGTTTGGCTTCATCGTCGACATATATCTCCAGAGGCTATCAAACAAAAGTGAGGGATGCAAAGAGTAATAAAATCAGCAAACTGTATCAATCATTAATCTTAATAACATCAGTAACCAATCTTTGTATAGATATAATTACGTTCTGCATAAACTTCTTGCAAATGGGTCGAATGTCTTTGCTCAAAGTGGCACTAAACATCATCACTTGCTTCCCATGTGGTGTCTTTCGGAAAATGTCTTGCACATCCCTCCGCATGTCTGTTAAAAAGATGAACAACTTTGTTATTATCGGTCGCGCATTACCCACTATCACCTGCATCTTACATATAATGTGTTATTTCAGATCTATCATTATTCTCACTAGGAATCTTCATTTCCGATTCCTTAGACGAGCTGGGTTAAAGAGCATAGATTTTCATCATAAATAACACCTATCTATAATCTGATGGTTACCCTTCCATCTCACACATTGGATTTCTTTCTCTCTGAACTTTCCATACCCCCTTCTACTTACCAAGCTGGTCGAGCATCTTATCACATTCATCAAGAACAAAATGTTTCACACTCCCCACTTTCAAGTAACCGTCTTTCACTAACGCCAATACTCTCCCAGGAGTACCGACGACAATATGCGGAATTTTATCCTTTTGTTTAAATTTCTCGATATCGCTCTTCATGGATGTTCCCCCGTAGAACACGTCGATTTTAACCTCCGGCATGTATTTGGCGAATCGAGTATACTCATTTCGAATCTGGAATGCCAGTTCTCGAGTGTGGCACAATACAATCACCGATACTTCACCGGGAGCAGGTTCGACTTGTTGTAGAGTAGCCAGTACAAAAACAGCCGTTTTCCCCATGCCTGATTTTGCTTGACATAGGACATCTGTTCCCAGCAGCGACTGAGGGATACATTCTTGTTGGACTGTGAAGAAGTAAACAAGAATTGTGATTAGAAATATGCAACGAAGGTCATGAAGTTAGGATTGTTGCTAGAATAAAGGGAGATGGACTAAGATAAATATCTTATTGGAGGGGAGTGTAGCCTGATACGAATATCACATTTGTATATATTTATTATCTCGCGATGGTTGTATCTGCCTTAATATATAGACACGCTGGTAGACCGCGTGTTACTAAACTATGCCACAAGGTAACCGTATGATTTTTACCTTCGGAAGGATGCTCAAAACCGCAGTCTACTATTGCTCTTAACAGCTCAGGCTTTAGTAAGAAATCTCGAAAGCCAGTCGCGTGAACGCCTACGTAACTCCCCTTCTTGTCCTTCTTATCTTCCTCACTGGCCGCCTCGCTGTAGTTGTTTTGTTTGTGTGTTGAGGCGCCTTCCGTATGGAGAAGTTGCTCCTCCTCTTCATAGTCAATCAAGTCGTCGGTGTGGTGATCGGCCATTTGTGTGGGAGTCTATAGGTGTAAATTACGCATATTGGCAACGAGAGGAAACAGGCGGATTGTAGGTAGTTGTTTAATAGATCCGTGTTAGATGACAGGTGTTCAAGCATTAAGATCTGGTATTAAAATACCTTTGCGTGGCTGTTGTGGTGCTTGTTTGTTAATAAAGAGGGATTTAGACCGTCAGATTTATCTTAGTTTAAGACTTTGTGTATGCTTGGCTTTATACTTGGTGTGTTCCTTGTAAATCTTCGAGATTTTCTTGAAGATGTGAGAAAGGAAGAGTGAAATTTGGGGGAACTGCGACTGATCCTGCTGATATTGATATTACGGATGCCAAACTCCTTGTTACACATGTTTTTTGCGCATGAGGTGATCCAGACGGGTAACCGGAGGAAGACTCTGACGAATTACGTAATAACATCGAAAGCCAATAGAACTGAAGGAACGATTGGGCGTGTGAACTTAAAATTTTTACTAGTTAACGTCTCGTCGACACGCACATTCAACTCGACAATATGTGTGTCTAATAAAGAACTCAATAATATTATGAATAAGTTAGTGCTTAAAGTTAACCTATAGATTTTAGATTAACAAAACTTGTGATATAAAACTGTGCAACAACTGTTGGTTGTTTTAAATGTGGGGCATGCCATATACTAACAAATAATCTCTAGGATATGAAAGCTAATCACTTGCATGTGTTCACTATTATCGTTATTAGCAATACAACAAACGTAGTAAAAGTTGAAAAAAATATAATATAAATTTTCATAAATCAGATATTAGATTCATCAGCATTTGGGATGAACATTTCTTGCCCACCAAACATGCTAAGTTATATTAGACACTTCAAAGAATAATTGATATTATTCTCCTAAAAAATTATTATTGTTGTCGCTGTCGTTGTCGTTTTAATTTTAATTATATTGTTCAAACCATTATGTAACATATGAAATAGGTAATCAGTTAGAACAGTGATATTAATAGCGATTGGTAATGTTTAGTAAAACCCATTACTTCCAGGTCTTGTTGTTTTTTTTAAAAAAATTTTACTCGGTCGTTCACATGAGTCAAAGAAATGTGTGTAATTGTTTTATCCCTATCTTTGCGGTTGGTATAATAGTAAGATATCTTACATTATACGATTTTGTATCCCTTAGCTTAACCTTGCTGTGTGCTTACGTCAATTGGTTTGATTAATATTTTTACATATTACAAATTAATTCTTACAGCAATAAGAACCACCGATGTGCAAATAAATAAGATTGATCAAAGAATACTTTTACATGTGAGATCGATAACGATAAGACCGAAAGTCTAATGTCATTAATTTTGCAATATGCTATATCCAAATGCTTGCATAAATTACAATGCAAAAAGCATAGAGTCATGACACACAAGCGTATAATGTAATAGAGTCACACTCGTACAGAGAGTTTCGTAGTTGAAATGATCACAATAAAGAGCGTAAAAATTCCATCGTTAAAGGGCGTGTTGTGTTGAGAAGTCAACGTTATTTATCATTATGAGTTAATAGTACATTAAAGTTCATAATCAAGTATTAAATATAAAATACTACGATCAGTAATAAAAAAAAAACAATTAATTGTCTATTCATAAATTAAATTACCTCATTCAAAGAGCACCTCATTCAAAGAGCAGCTGAGGAAGATTCAAAAAGTTTCCAGTTGACGAATCAAAGTAATATTGCCCTTCTTAATTATATGCCATCAATTAAGGAATTACATCAGTTGTTGTTCTGGTATAGTTTCTCTTGTTCGTAAACGGCTAGCGGCAGGGCTATCACTAAAGAGTCGTTTTGTCTTCATACGGGTTAAAGCTAAAATATTAAGTCACTCTATGAGAAAATAACTCAAAACTAGCGATAACATGTTCTATTTTTGTAGTGTAGCTTAATAGTTGGTTAGTAACACAGAGTAATAAATATGTATTCCAGCGATAGAAAATATACACGTAGCCGCCTTTGACACTACCTAACATCTTAATTGAAGCGGGCAAGTTAACAAGACCGTGTTTATTAAACACAGCGCTCTCCCAGGCGACCGCCTATAACAACTTAGAGCTAGATATTTGGACTATGTATGTTATTGATGCTACAAATAGCCCATAAATATGGCATTGACAATTCTATCTAGAATCTTGATGCATGATATAGATGATAGAATAATAGTAGAAAGTAGGATAATAGTTAGCAAAAAACTTTTTCTTATGTGCAAACAAGACGTCACTAAGTGAATATATCAATATTACGGCTTCAGACCTTGTCAAAAATAAGGTCTTAATACAAAGGCTGTTAATATATAATGGCTTTACAGAATTTGTGAATTATCATTGTTACACCACTCTAATGCTTATTTCTCCTTTACAGACATGCCTTTCATGTTATTAATATAATACAGTCGTCCCCCTCTACAGTCACACCGTCGGTTCTCCTGAAACCTGTGACTGTAACAGTAAGGAGGGTGTGACTGTAGAGGAGGACCCCTATACAATCCCAGGATATATGTAATTCATTGTGAAGTGCTTATACAAAGGTTTATATTAATTGACAGCATTCTTGTAAATTCTTCGGTTTAAGCCATAAAAAAAAAGCAAACCAACAACCTGTTAATAAGATAATAAAAACATACATGTTGACAGTGACATGCATAAAGAGATTAACTTATTTCCTAACAAAAGAGTCGAGTATTGACTGAACTTTAGACTTATCCACTAATAGTTCAAGTATTGGTATTTTACGATGGAGAATTTTAACTCATCTGGTCTAAACAACGTCTCGGAAAGTTGTTCTTGGAATCTAATGAGTTCCGTGAGATGAAACAATGCTTCGTGGACAAGATCTTGCTTACTGTAGACCGATCTATATTAATACTAAATTTATTATTGAAATAAGATGCAATGTCAGTACAGTTGAACCGAAGGCACGGGGAGGTCAATTATGATTCGTTATAACGAGGAATTCGGTAAAACGAACGCTCTCTTTGTAACGAAGTCTAGCCTAAAGTCAAGTAATATTCGGTATATTGAGACTTTTGTAAACAATGTTTATTAGTTGCAAAATAATACAAATACTAGGAGAAAACAAAAAAATATAATGATTTCTACGGATCACTCAAAAGTTTAAGAAAACAACAGCTTTAGCGGTCCACCGTAGCTGTGCCCAAATAAAGGACACACCAAATCAAAAGTTTAAGAAATTAGAATATTTATGTATCGGAGATTCATTTTGAGAGAATATAATCATTACTCATCATTTGGTTAGAATTGTTCGATGCGTCAATGAAGAAGAAAAACTATGATACATTTTACATGATTAACTATTTACGAAAAAATCTTGATTTAGAATATCTACCTATTAAACCAGTTTTAAAGAAAGGTAAATAACCATAAAATAATAAACATATAAAAGTTTTTGCCAATTACATTCTTTGTTGAAGAAAGAATAAGTCTAACCAGTACAAAATGAATCTAATTCGACTGCTTTTGACTTGAACGAAAGACTTTGAGCTCATTATAACTATCGCAAGGAACTTTTATTCACAAAGCTCATTATAACCTACCTCTATATTGACAAATTTTATAATTGCTACAACCAATCACTATGTTTAAACTTTCTATCACGTGATTAACTTCCGTTATAAAGCGTTCGGTAACGGAATAACGAGGTTTACTATTAAAATTCGTAATTATAATAATGGGGGACTCTATTAAATTTTTGTAATAAATATCCTTATTGTAAGCTACCAATTATAATAGTTGGTACAGTCGTTGGTGGGAATAGCCTTTTTTATTATTATTATCAATAATTTCGTATCTCACTGCACGATAGAGTTACGCTTGGGTGTATATATACAGTACACAATAACAATAAAAGAATAAAACACAAGCATTTTAGCATTCCGATAGCAGTTATCCAATTATAAAGGGTGGTCAACTATTATTCTTTCTTTTCCTGTTCGATCATAGATTATTTATGTTATTACTTATAAACAAGATATTTATATTATGGAAATCTAGGTTTTTTCTGCCGATTATTCACTTTTAATAGTAAACTTAAATCTTGATAACTTTTGAACGAAACAAGCTATGTTCATAACGACTGTACATACTTCAACGGGGAGGCAATCATTTCGTCGACAATCATTTCACCGACAATCATTTCACCGACATTATTTCGAAGTTTCCTTTTTTGGTAGTTAATTGTCGGTGAAATGTACTGTCGGTGAAATAATACGGACCCCTTCAACGTCTGCCCTACAAGAAAATAGAGACTTTTTTTTCGTTTCCTTGACAAATTATTCTGCATATGTAAAACTATTCTTGAAAACTTTTTCAAAAAAGTCTCTACTTTCTTATAGGGCAGGCGTTGGAGTACTTTATGAGCATAGCTTGTTTCGTTCAAAAGTTATCGAGATTTAAGTTTACTATTAAAAGTGAATAATCAGCAGAACATCAGAAGCTCTTATTCAATGTACCGACTAAAGTACCCCCGGGTATTTTACATTTTACTCTTTTTAGAGGGAGGTATTTTACTAGGGGGGTACTTTGGACAACCCCATAGTATTAACAGATTTCCTCGATATAATACTATGGTTCGCGCTAACAAGCCTGCAAGACGTTTTCGTATCACCAAACAAGTTCGCAGAAAACGGTCAGCAAGGAAAAAACTCATTGTCATTTATTACTATTATCGTCATCATTCTATCAGAGAAACAGCGAGCAGATTCGACATAAAACCAACTTATTCGTTACAGTTATTACGACATACGTCATACTATTCAAATGCAATTTTTCCGGCTTAAACTGCTGCAGGGTACTATTACTATACACAGGGGGGTACTTTAGTCAGCGCTCTATGGTAATTATGACATTGATTGGTTGATAATGTAATATTTCAAACATGGTCAACACAACCTTGAAAGCAGTGTTTCCCCTATTACGTTTTTATTTAGGCTTCAGTTATGAAAATTTTTTTG